ATTCTGCAGGAAGCTGGCTTCAGTATAGTGGCAGCAAGCACAAGGAAACCTTAGCTCCTGTTGCTGGATGCAGTTGGAAAGTAAATATTTTATCGCCTTTGTCAGTGGAAGGCTGTGTGTGGGTACTCAAGGATTCTTTGGTGGTTAACACTGCCCTGAGCAGATTTAGGTTACTATGGCACCAAAAGTAAAAATATCATACACATGCACACCTGCACGTGACCACACACAACAGAGATATTTGAGCAGTTCCTGCTCCCCCTTTCTTGATCCTCATATACAAGAGCTCACTGTTTGATCAGTGCCTTATGAGAAATCACTGGAGGCATCCAGGATGGTGCCTGCAAGCATGGATTTTGCACATCTGCCTCTTGATGGTTTGTGCTTATTTTTGGTGTATTTGGGAGGAAGGGCTTGGGCAAAGTAACAAACTGTCATTCATGTGGGAAGCTGCTATAACAGGAAAGGGAAAATGAACCACCTGAAACCATTTTTCCAACCTCTTCTGTTTTCCTGAGGGTGGACCGAAACAGCAGCATTTGGCCCACTAATTATCCACAAAGCTCTGCACAGTTTTATCACCGTGAAAGGATGCTATGAACATTGTAAATTCTAAAGTGCTAAGAGAACTGCCAAATTTAAACCTGACTAGGCAAAATTAATATGCATAATAACTTAAATTGCCCTATGAAGTATAGAATCCCCTGCCTCTTCCCATGCAAGTGCTCCATAGTGTTCAGTGAAAAGGCAGCTGTCTGTTTTCTCTTTGTAGCCTCCATATTGTACCCTGAATGATTTGTTCCTCTTACAGAACAATTATTTAATGCTAGCTTTCTCAGATATGCTCTTCATTAACATATTTGAGTGCTTTACATCGTCACTGGCAGGTGACGATATTTTATAAATGTCTGAACATATATGACTAATAGAAGTTTTATATATATGTATAGCACCTGTTACTTTATATATGAATGACATATATATATATTACTGTCTTACCAATAGGTAGTTTTATAGGTATGCTATAATTTAATATCATGAATAATTAATATAACTTAATCATATAGGTATTTTATAGCTAGGGAACTGATTTGGGGCATCCAGTTTCACAAGTTTGTGATGTCTTTACTCAGTGTATTTAGCATTATAAAACATGCTTTGGTCTAAGCATGGCTCTGACTGATGTCACTTGTGCTTCTCAGTGATCAGCAGCTCCACAGCCATAGCAAAAAGAGTCCAAACTTTATGAGGTTTTTCCTTAAATGCTGTATTTAGCTGTAAACAGGAATTCTCCAGGCAGAAGCAGAACAAGTTGGCCCTTCTCATGTACCGTGAGACACTTTCTGGGCCTCCTCTGTAATAATGTGACAGCCAGCAATACCTTTGGAGGTATCTGGGAACACTGTGTTTTTTGCTTACTTAAAGAACTTGAGAACTTGGTCAGAAACACTTCAAACACTACATCTCTGAATACAATTTCCCTCTCCGAAAGCCCTGGTGGACTTTCCAAACTGTGTCTCTCTGAAAATAATCCCCCTTGACCTTCTGCAAGCAGAGAAGGTACTGTGAGAGGAATGGTACCAGGGGATGATGAATACTTCTGTTTTCTTCTTTTATATATATATATATTATTTTTTTTTTATTTTATTTGGGTGGAGGGAGTTCCTACAGAAAGAGTGTCCCCAGGATCATCAGATAGACAACGCTTACAGCTCCCGAGGAGGATCTAGTTGAGCTGAGCTTATACAGGACTATCCCTGGGTGTGTTCGCTATGGAGCTGAAGACACTTATTTCTGAGGTTTGTATCTGAGGAAACCTTTGCCTCACAGCATTTTTGAAGTCCTGGTTTGTGTTTATGACCCTAGAAATGACCTATTTGCCTCCCTATTAACACAGGGGAGCAATCTTGGACTCTTTTAAGGAATGTGTCCATACTGAAATCAATTGCTTGACGTGTCCTATTCTAAATGAGCTGATTTCAGGCTTTCATTGTCTGATAAGTGTGTATCCTACATCCTTGCCATTGCTCTGCAGGCTGCCTCTAGTTTCCAGCTCCTCCAGACAGCATTATTTCTCCAAAGGGTAAACCTGGGTGCCTTGAATGTATTTAGCACAGGTGCACAGGGAAGGACCTCAGTGATGTTGCTTGTTATTGGCTATTTTCAGAGACACACCATAGACATCTATGTATTTTTCTTTCCTTCTCATTGCCTCCATTACCTCTTGCCCACCCTTTCAGGAATTATCTCTGCCCACCATTATCTCTGATAGCACTAGTTTTGCACTTTTCAGTGACTTGGGATTCAAAGACTGAGTTGCAAAATTTATGATAGGGAGAATCTGCAGAACTGTCAGTCTGGTTTTTGCTTGCAGTGAGAAGATGGCTGGCTGCTCAGCTGCTCTCTCTGCTGAATACTCTCTCTGGGTGAGTAATTATCTAAGTAATGAAGAAGCTCTTTAAGTGACCCAAATGACTGCATGGGTTTGTAATTCTACCTGTGATAATTTAAAAGGAGGAAAAATGTGAGGATCATTCCCATTTCTTACAAATCTTTCTGCCCTACTTTACGGGTGAAGTTGCTGAGCAGCTCTGTTGCTGGTACTTGTTTAATCTTTCCAAAGAGGGCTCAAAGGAGGATGGGGTTGGTGGTGGTGGTGTAATTTTCCTGAATATCTGCCAAAGAAAGTCCAAGCCCCTTTCCTTGGTGTTCAGGAGAGATACAAATGCCTGCGAGAGGGTGTCACCCCTGTTTCACACAGCTAGATGTTTTCTGGAGCTGCCTAACCTGTGCCGGGGAGCTCTTCTTCGCTGCTTTGGGCACAGCCTGGAGCACTGGCTGAGCCACCTGGCAGCTCACGGGCTCTGAGCAAGATCAGCTCTCCCCTTCCCTTCCCTGCTCCCCTGCACTGGCTCCAGAGATTTTGCCTAGCTCATTAAATTGGTGGAATTTATCTAATCCAGCAAAATGGCAGGTTTGCTGGGGGCAAGCAGGAGTCTCCTGCATGGGCAGAAGAAAGGGACACAGCCTGTTGCCCGCCTGCAGCTTCTGGGTATCTAACCAAACTGTCATGAGGTACAATGAGCAGACATAGCAAAACCAGGCTGCGTTGCCTGAATTGCAGGGGGAAAAAAAAAAAAAGGTTTCATTTCAGACAGTTTGCAAACAGGCATATCCTGCTTATTGGGTCCTAATTTCAGTCACAGCTTTTGGAAGTTTCCTGCTGAAATGTAGATGTTGTTTTTAAAAAAAACCACCCTCAAAGAATGTTGCATATCTGTGTGCCATTTTTCTATTCAAGGTGGTTTTCTACCAGCTGCTGTAATATCTGTCCCTTAACAGGACAGCATGAGCACTCAGAACTACGAAGGACATTTCCAGAAAAAGGCATTCAATGAAGATTTTTGTCGAGGCTTAAGGAACAGTTTTCATTGGCATAAAAAAGCCCCAAATTATTAATACATGGTGACACAGGAGGCCAGTTATATGTATATGTTATATGTAATTCTGTGTTTCCACCTGAAAACCTTCCAGGGGCTGGTAGTTCCTCACTTGTGACACCATTGCTCTCCAGAGACAAGAGCATAGTATCACCTCAGAGCACATCAGGAAGTACTTGGGGTTTCTGCTTCCACCATCACTATATTAAATCCCTGTTGCTCACTGCAGAAGTAACTCAGCCCATCAGGCTGGGTGCTTCCCTGTGGGTGAGCATCAGGTGGTGAGAGGCTGGTCATCACGTCAAAGCTCACAGTCTAATGAGACAAGCAATGGCTGTGAAGGCAGACACAGCTCCTGCTCCAGTTTCACTCACAAGGCTCAGGAGCATTGTTCCTACTCATGTGCTGAGCTGCAGCCTGGCATCAAAGGTAGGTAGAAAACCTTCCTCCACCCTAGGAATTGGTGTCCCCTTCCCCTCCTGGGAAGCATCCTCCTGCAGCAGCGCCTCTGCATTCCCTCAGGGGCTCCAGCTGCCAGGAGGTGCTGTTTCTTAGGAGGAAAACTGTCCTGCTTGAGCGACCAAGAGTGATCTAAAGTACAGCTGGTATTGCTTGGCATTTCATAGTTATGGGTCCCTCAACTAACCAAACACAAACCTATTTGTGTTCTATTTGTGCAGAAATCCAACAGAAATCAAATCCTCCTCGGCAGCAGCAGCTCAAGGGGGATGGATGGCTGGAGGAGAGCCAGGCGTGCCACCTCCCCTACTATGGTCCATTTGCCAGAGGTTTCCAGAAGCATGTTTTGTGGGAGATTTGCCTGCTGCAACCTTCAGACAGACAATTAAAAAAGCAAATGAGAGAAGCAGCACTTCACTTCAGAAGCAGGTGAGAATGGTGATGAAGAGGGGGCTAAGATGGCTGGGAGGGCAGTGAGGCAGCAAGGGAGGAAGGCAGTGAGGAGAGACCTGTGCTTCCCACCCTACAAGCACCAGGCTGTACACAGATGCACGAAATGCAACCACGCTGCCCGTAACGGTGCTGGGGGACTGCCTGCTTGAGGCAGAGTAACGTGGCTGGGAGCGATTGAAGCAGCCATCACTTCTCTCTAGGCTGAGATGGCCAGCCAAAGCCCGATGTCAGGACAAATTAAAAAGCGGAAATTATTAAAAATGTTCAAGCACAAGTGATGGTTTTTGCCAGTGTTAGGCTGATGGTTGGACCCAGTGACCTGAAAGGTCCCTTCCAACGTAGGCAATTCTATGATTCTATGGAATTTAGTGGTTTTCTTTTAGTCATAAGGAAAAATTCAGAAGGAGTTGATGTTAACCCACAATAGCTCCCACCAGGAAAACCAAACTGCTTTCAGGTGGTGCTGATTAGTCCATTGGTGAAAGCAGCTGGGCTTTTTTATCTATTTTATCTTTTTTATCCCCAAACCTCTCTGAAGAAAAAGAGTTGCCAAATAATTTTAGCAGCTTGTGCCTCTTTTAATGGAAATATCACATACTTTTACACATATACACAGTAAAATACAAAGGGTTAGAAAACAGGCTTCATTTTCAGCCCCTAAGTCTAACATACTGTACGCTAATCCCTGAGAGCACCTGCAATTGTGTCTCCTGCAAGTGATACTGGGAGTGCAAATTCACGAGTTCACCTGCAGCACAGGTTGCTTTTCAGACACTCAATCTGAATTCTAAATCTTCAGTACGCTGGGCTGGCAGTAAACAAAAATTAATAGTTAAACCATTCAATCCAGTGTACCAATTAAAAAGTCCATCCTAATACCTCTGCCACAGACAGCTAAAAGATGTTTTCCTACTCTCCAAAGGTTCAGCTTATATTCTGGTCACACCAAATCCATCACAAAATTGTGCCTATGAATTGCACAGCACCGAGATGCTTGCAGACTAAAATCCTCTTTATATTCACAGGGCTGGGGAGGTTTCTCAGCAGGGTGCATATTCCTTCAACTCTGACCTGGGAGGCTACCTGGCAATGGAGTCTAACCGGCACAGCTACTCCAGCAAGAGGTGCAAAGAACAGGCTGCGTAGAAAATCCTTGTTTCTCACATCTGCCATAACCTCTGTCGAGCCCTGACCCCACAGACGCCAGCTAGCAATACCAATCTGGGCACTGGTTTTCAATCAACTGAATTTATTTCTCCCATGACGCGCACAGTTTCATTACAAGCTCAGTGAGACCACAGCCAGCCTTTGAGCTGTGGGAGTAAAGGGTGGAAAAGTTTTCCCTCTCCTTAATTGAAGGGAGAAGCTGACAGCAGCAGCTGGGGTCTGCCTGGCCCCCATTAGAGCAACACGGTTGGGAGAACACACCACAGCACATTTCATTTCAAACGGGAGCAAAGCCTGAGCAAAAACATAGACTGGGCATGTGCTTTGTGACTTGCTGTTTGTGTTTGACCTCTGCTTTTGTCAATGTGGTATTTCTTCAGCAAGCAGCAGGTTTACAGCCCTTCCTGGACAGAATTTGCCAGGATTTGACATGCCATTCAGTCTGACTGCTGGTAACGCCAAATTAAAGCCTATCATGGACCACAAGAACCTGTGGGAACTCCCACTTTGAGATGCACTCATGTAACAGGGAAGGTTTTCTCCCGGTGTTGAGACAGAAGGGTGATGTTCTGCCCTCTCCGGGCACCCCGAGGTCTAGTACCAAAGCTCACAGTGGCGTCTGGCCACCATTTCCAAAAGCTAGTGGCTGAGTTGCCTCATACCTGGGAAAATGGCTTGAACTTCTGGAAGCTGCATAATTTTCCTGTTCTTGCTATAATAAACCCAATAAACACAATAAACCCAGTGGGGTTTTTTAACAGGAACTTAAATATCCACCTAAGAAAAAAAAAAAAAGCCCACTTGTGTCTCACTGTCTCCCTTACTTCACAGTTAAATGCAGAGACAAAAAAATCCCTGAGACTAAAGAGGAGACAACAGACAGTAGATACGGGGAAACTTAACAGGGGAGGCAAATCTTAGGTGATGGTAGCATTCAAAAATTGGCTCAGCTTCTCTGTTGCTGCAAAGAAATCAGTCCCTGCCCCCGATTTGTACCTGCAGAGGATGTGAATACCTCAACTAGTAAAATAGTTCATATGCAGCCCTTTTAATATTCCACAGAACGAACAATAGCATTAAGAAACTGCATCCATACAGACTGTATAGAGCTGTAAAGTTTAATACCTATCCTGTCTTAAACTTTGATTACTGGAATTAAAATAAAGTGCTTAGTATATTCAAAACAGTTGTAGACCTGGATTTTCACTGCCCACCAACACCGTGGTATATTTTAAACTTTTCATTATTACTATAAAACCTTGCAATACATCTACCTAAGCAAGGAGAGGGAGGAATGTCTAGTGTCAAAAGCACAACTCCTTAATTTTGTCCATTATAAAATGAACAAACACAAAATACAATCATTTCATACAAGTTGTTTTTCAAGCTGTTTCTCAGTCGTTCACCTGGAACTGGAAAAAAAGGAAACCACAAGAGGACTGCACCACTTAAAATTTCCTATCAACAGCAGACAGGTAAACTTAGTAAGTCTTCAGCCACAAAATACTTTCCTGCTCCATCATCAGACACACTGTGGCATAGCCCTTACCCTCTTTCTGCCCCTTAAGGGCTGTTATTCAGTATTCCAGCTCCATGAGCAGTGGGCATGCACGAAGGCATGCGGTCTGTTATCTCAGCAAGATAACAAGACTAATGGCTCTAAAACCTTCTAAGCAACTGCTTTTAAATCAGGTCCTGCATCTGGCAGGAGACACCTGCCTCTGCTTTTGAGCCTCTGCTGCTTTTATCTTCTCCTGTTCCTCTGCTTTCTTCCGTTCCTCTTTTAGCTCCTTGTATCTCCATTTGGGAATCTGCAAATAGGGGTCGTCCTTTGCGCTGCTCCTCCTTCTCGCCTTTTCTGGCTGGAAGGTGGGTGGAGGAGCCTTGCTGACACGGACTTTGGGGATGACAAATCCCGGCCTGACGCTGCTCCGTCTAAGCAGGTGGAGCGGCAAGAGGCTTGCCTTCCTGGTGGCTATGGTGTTCACTTGGGAGACTGCAAGGCTGATGGGCTGCAGGCTGGCTCGCCGGTCCTTCTTCTTGGGGATCAGCGTGACTTTGGAGTTCTGAAATAGCTTCTCATAGCTGCTAAAGTGGTCTTTGTCCTGAGATCGGATCTCCTCGGCTCTCTGCTTCCTAATGATTTCTTGCACAGCCAGTCTGCGTTTCCCCACGGAAGGCGGGCTGCCTGGGCACACCGTCCGGCACGACAGAGCAATGAAAGGGCTGCTCAAGCTTGTTGTCACCTTCACCATGTGGTCAAGGACCCCGTCTTCTTCTGGGCCATAGAAAGACCGGAATGAGATAGCTGCCCTCATGCACTCAGAAATCCTCTGCAAACAAGTTTTTGGCTCTGCAGCCTTGGCTAGAAGTTCCTTCATCTTTGGCCATTCTGGTTTATACTGATCACAAAACTGTTCCGGGCATGGCCTGTCCATCAGCTTTTGCATGATGAAGGCAGATTCCGATCTTCCTGTGTAACAAGCCCATTCCCATGAAGTCAGTCCACGGCTTGGGTCAGTCGCGTGAACATTTGCCCCTCAAAGAAAAGAAAAATTAGAAAAAATTAGAAAAAATTGAAAAAGAATAATTAGTGTTAATTAAGGAAACTGCCCACACTTTTGTTGCTATGATTAGAGTTGAATCAGGCAGATCCCTGCAAGAAAACATCATATAGGACATTCTATAATATTTGTGTCAAAATGAACATGCAATAAGGAGAGACACAGGTTCCTGACTTGCTAAACTGCAGATTTATTATTAAAAAGAATAAAAATAAAAGAAATTAAGGCTGTATATATGAAATTCTCTTAAAGAAATGCAAAGAACGACATTATGAATTTCAACTGCATTGCATGTTGCCTGCCGTTTTAAAATCCATTCACTCAGCCTTGTAAGAAAAGTGACAAATATAAAAGAAAAAAATTCCTTACACAAAAAACCTTCCCATACAGAGTAACAGGCTTTACACTGATCACTGCCACTCAGAAGAGAAATCTTGGGCTAATGATCAACTCAGTGCTCACTAGGGGCCAAAATAGCAAATAAAATACAAGGAATTTTATAAAAGCATTAAAAAAATTGAGAAAAATAGGGTGGAAAAGAGGAAAAAATAGAGAAAGTGCCAGGTGTACAATTCAGTACAATTATGTCTGAAAGTACAATGTAGAATTAAGGAAGGTTGAGAGCATGGTGACAAGGGTGATCAAATATAAGGAAATTTTCCATTCATGTCAGAGAGAGGATAATGGGTGAGATGGACCTTCAGGCTGAACCCAGAATGGCTGCTCTCATCTAACTTAGATTACCACCCCGGAGGAAATGAAGTAATCATTAGAAAACCATGCTATTATTGCTGAGTGGACCGGCCATAAGAGGTGATTGGGGCACATGCTAGACAGCAGAGGCTTAGGCATTTGAAGTACAGTGTTAGGTTCTGGAAGGAAATGATGTCTAATGGATATAATCTTTTGGCCTGTCCTCCCCCCATTCCCAATTTTTGATCTTTATCCATCCCATTCTGATATCTGTCCCCATCACCCACTCTTTCTTCTCATCTATTTCTGTGTCCTTTTCCAGCTTTGCCATCCTTTTGATCTCTCCATGTTCCTGTACGCCCCCTCACATGGGCTTCTGCCCTTGTTCTCTACTCTTTTGCTTTCAAGTGGGGTTGCACTCCTCTTCTCCAGGACACCTGGCTGCCTGAAGCAACAATACAAGAGTAACAGGAGGAGCAAGCATCCTAGTCTGCTCTACTGTACCCTTTACAACTGCTGTAGTACTATCCAGAAAACAGCAGGGAAGTCCTCCCAGTCCTGGTATTGGGACAGAGCACAGGCATTTGTCAATGAGGATGGCATGTGCCTAGTGCTGCTCACACAGAAGAACTCTGTAAAGGACAGAGGAAGCTTAATGGAGACAGCATCCTCAGAAGAATTGCTGTAGAACAACCAGCAGCAACAAGTGGGTTTGGAAGCTGAAGCCAGCAAGACTATCGCAAAGGACCAACACGCTCCAGCTGGTAACTGCTACAGGGCACAACAGATCAAAACCAATCAAAAAGAATCTGAAAGATGTGATGAGGACTTGACAGCCAGCATCATGTCCTCTGCATCGCACCCAAGTGATTCTGGGCATACCACTGGGGCACAGGCGTCTTGGAATTTTAGAGTATATGGGTATGTGGGTGAATAAACTACATCAACAGGAGAATGAGCATGTGTGAATAGCCTCTGGTTTCAGGCAGTCACATTGTGAAGATGCAAATCCTTTGTTTTATATTCTGCCTTTAAACTTCGACTGATCTCAGAGGGAGCTTTGCACACCCCGGAATGCTGACTTTGTTCAGCAGATCTGCAGCATGTTCTCTGGGGCAGGCACAGACACTTTGCCCAGCTGCTGTTAACATAACCGAGCTCTTTAACATTCAGTTATGTTTCACACATATCTCTGGCACTGTAGAAAATTTCTGAGTTTCCTGAAAAAGTTTTTAGCTGGGATATGAACAGGCGACAATGTTTGACTTCTTGAAGGGCTTCTCTATCAGCTGAAGCACCCTTTTCAAACAGCCAACACAAAACTGACCTACACAGATCTTTCCACTAAAGAAAAGCCATTCTGTCTCATTGCTTTGGGAGATGGTAATGGCCAGAGACTAAGACCTGAGGAAGAGGCAAGAGAACGTCATGATAAATTATTTTTTTCAGGGTGGATTATCTTGGTAACAGCATTTCAAACTAGCATAGGGGGGACTAGGTATCAGGACTGGCAACCAGGAAGCCTTTTGCAATGGCTCCAGTATAATCTTCCATGCAAAGGATAGATATTTTGCCATTGCAGAGAAACAGAGGAAAAATGAAAGCATGGGAAAAGTGATCAGAAGTTCATGACTGCAGAAGCTACAAACCAGTGAGGGGAGGAACAAAAGCATACAAAGTCATGTCCTCCTGCTCTACTAGCCTGTTTTTGAACCAACCTACCCAAACTTCCTACCCTGAATCTCTCCCATAAATTTTAATGAACAGTATGCTCTGCTTGTAAAGGAGCAAGAGGTACAGCCAGCTGCTCACCATTGCCTTCAAGAAAAAGACATGCCAGCTCTGATATGGTGCAACTGTGGGACCTTGGATCAGACTTGTGCAAAAAGAGCTGTGTGAGAAAGTGCTCTCTGGGGACTCCCCAGTTTTGCTTGGGGGCCACATTGAAGCTCAGAGGCTCAGCTCTGGTCCTTGCCTGAGTAATCACAGAATCACCTTGCTGCAGCTATGACAGTGCTGTGCCTGTGCATGGCCACGTGCCTTACTGCTTCGGACCCTGACCCACAGACTTAATTTCTTGTTTGACCTCAGACCTACCTTGCCTCTAGGGACTTGCCTTGTCACCATGGACTTCCCTGGAAACCGCTGCAGTAATGGTTGATCCTAGTTATTGTCACCAGCCCTGCTCTGTTTCTTCATGAAGCACCTTTGTTGATGAGGCTGGTGCTTCTGTGTGCCTTGCTGTCACCCTTGGTTCTCCTCCCTTTGAGGAGAAGCCCACTCCTGCTGCTGCCCGACAGATGTGTTCCCAGGTGTTTCAGAAACTTTATCTCAGGAAACAATACTGCAGTGTCGAAACCCTGATCTTTCAACAGAAATCAGTGCTGACTTTGTACCTTGTATCATCAAATCTCTTCTAAGGCGTGATTTATTATAGTGGTATTGATTTTCTGTACAAATCAGGAGACATTTCTGAACAAACTTGTCACTCAGCAGAATGTCTCATCTGGAAGAGACATGAATAGTCATGTCCCTTTCTAAATGTGATAGCAGTCTTATTGAACTAATTGTCATTTCAGTGCAGGCATAGCCTACAGGTTTTCTTTTAGGAAAACTGAACTTGCCACTTGCCCTGATTTTCCTACGAAGGTTGCCCTGAAGATACTTTTCAGCGTAACTAGTTGGAATACACGTCTCTTTGAGATATCAATATCCTATTTGATTAAGACGGTTTAACGTCCCTTGAGATGCAAACCTGACATCCTGAGTTTAAAGGAGTGAAAGAACTTAGGCATCTGTAACTGAGCTTTTTTCTACGCAGTGTTTAAAGCCCAGCCTCCAGATCCACAGCCCCTCCCGTGCCCTCACTAAAGCAGCACAGAGTTTACACTGGAGATTTCAATGGGGCTTGAGACGTGAATGATGACCGGTGTTTCTGTGCTGCTGCTCGGGCTGGCTGGCTTGCCCAGCGCTGGCACAGCTCGGTCCTGGCAGTGCAGCAGCCTGTGACAAACTGCTGATGAGTGACTGGGCTCCCCCCTCGCTCGCTGTGCGCTCACCAACAGCAAATTCACATGTTTCCAAAGACTCGTTTTGAAAGAGCAAGCATTATGGCCAAGTGTCTCAGAGCGCCTTAATCTTGTAGTGATTGACCTTGGCCACCCTCCAGGAACTCAAATTTCGGAAAGAGCAGTCACTTTGACAATCCAGCTCCAACCATCTGTCACACATTGCCGGTACCTCTTCCCCATCTGACTGTTAAATCCGTGCTTAGGCAGCTAGCAAGGTGAGTTATTTTCCTTTACTGACCTCCTACATTGCCATAAGTAGGTGCCCCTCAACAGAGGTCTTACCCAAGCCACTGAACACATACTGGGTTTAAAAGCCTCCTGACTGTAACTCTTTTCTAATTGCAGCTATACAAAAGTCATAGAATATGCAAACAGACCCACAGCTGATTACGGGTGTTTCCCCCTATATTTCCATGCATTCTTATGTTTTAACATTGATAGGATTTTGCTGTTTTATTTGTGAAATTGATTTTTTTTTCACCAAATCTTTTAATACCAATTTCTTTCACCTTCTTTCCTATTGATGTCCCTTGTGGAGTATGAACCCTACACTCCAAAGCTCTACAGTCCAGCTACAGGGCCCTATTATCCCACCAAATCCCCCAGCCCTGCACCATCACACCCAAAGCAAGAGACCTGCGTGTCTTCCCCAGCTGTGTCATGAACTTCATTAATGCCTTGTCTACAAAACCTGATGATCACACTCCCTGAACTCTCCTAGAGACAATGAATCACACCCTGAGAGACCTTGGGGAGATCCTGGGTGAGTTTCCACAGGAAAACGGAGCAGTCCCACACCTGCAGCCTGTGGCTTCAGCATCTTGTCTGTGACTTACTTAAAAGATACACCCTTTTCCAGGGAAGGCTGCACCACACCTCAGAGTAAGCACCCTAAGAGCCAATTTTCTTCTTGGTGTTTGTGTGTGACTGTCTGATATTTACAGGTGGATGATGAGGAAGAAGCAGCAAAGCACTTTGCCTACCTGCCAGCATCAAGGCTTTCACGCACTCAGTTCGGCCCTGCATCGCAGATTTCATCAGTGCTGTGAATCCAAACACATTCCTCTTCTCGATATCAAGCCCGGGAAAATAGTTCAACAAGTAGTTCGTAATGGTTATGTGCCCTTTAAAGAAATGAAAAAGCAGAGAAAATATGTCACAGAATTAAGGCACTATCTGAAGGTTAGACCAAAAATTACTCCTGCCGGTTTGATAGCTGAAAAAATGCAGGGGTCTAATAAGATCTCTTTTCTTCGTATCCTCTTCTGCTCATTGCAGTCATTAGCCTTAGGGTTAAGTGCCACTGACTCGTGACCACAGTATTGGGCTAGGAGTCTGGAAACCTGGGTTCCTACACTCTCTCAAGTTGCTCTCCTCTCTGAAAAGTCAGTTTAAATTAAGAGAATAATTGAAAACCAGGGGTGGTCATTCTAAGGTTGCAAGAGGCCTGAGCTTCTTGACTCAGTGAGTGGCACTGCAAAGGGAATTCCTACAGTTTATGGAAGATCCAGCAACTGGGGAAAATGACGCAAATCTTCAGCTTTTTCACTCCTCTGGTAAATTTGAGCCTTACTGTTGTGGTGCTTCATCAAAAAGTGATTGATTGCATGTGGTAGTTCCAGCTAATGATACTAACAAACCCTGCCAGGCCTGATATGAGACAGAGAAATATTTTGCGTAGAATCCCATATTTTTATTTTTCCATCTGACAGCGTGAAGCCACTTGTCTACTCTCCAGCAACAGGAAAATGGGACTGATGTTCCATTTTGTTAGTAAAATAAATGACTTGAGTTCTGTTTCCAAAAGCAACTGTTGTTGCCATTCATGTACCTGGTACGCCAGGATAACCGGTGTCAGCAGGGGTGTACCGAGTAGCTGAAGACACCTCTGGCTAAATGGTTGGAAGACCAATTAAAACATCAAGTCTTTATAATTGGACTATCAGAACAAGACTAGTATCTAGTTCCATTATGATTCATTCAAAACAGTTTTCCCTTCACTTGTCATTCATTTTATGATGCTTTGACGCTTTATAAAATAATGCAGTCTGTCAAGCAGCTGCAACAATCACAATTTAATTACTAGGAGCTGTAAAAATACTCTCTCATCTCACTCTGCAGTCCAGCTGAATATTCTGTGATGCACATCATTCAAATTCATCTAGAAATGTTACTGAAGCAGATTATAATTTATATATGACGATTTTGAAAGTCTATAGTGTCACATCTGGTGCAGGTTTCATCAGCAGTGGCTTTGTGCCAACACAGTCCTGCACTGACTTCGGAAAGCAAGTTAAGAAAATCTTTACCAATTAACTAAAGATGTTTTCTAGGTGCTACCCTGTGCCTCCTAGAATTTGCTGGACTCTGCTACCTTGCTGCATAACTGGAGACTCTCCTGAAACCTGAGCAGATGTAGAGATGGTGCAGATGAGCTTAGCAACACCAGAGTCAGAGGAAACCAAATAAGGAGCTCCCTGTACCTTTGCAGTCTGATGCAAATTAAATATAAAGATAGGGCAAACCGCAACAAGCTGAACAAAGCAAAAGTGAACTGGGTTCAGGGCAGGATCAAGCAACCTGGTCCTGCTTACTCAGTACAGGGCAGCTTCAGCTTCACTGACTCTGTGGCACAGGATCAAACCCTAACAGGGTATTGGTTACGGCCAGGAGAACCTCTGTGCCCAAATTGTTTTGCAGGACAAGCTCTGTTTTACTAATATACAGTGTGTGTCTTCATGAAGGTTTTGGGACAGCTGAAACACTGCTTTTTGACCACAGAAACCACACGCCGGAACGGAAACAAGGAGAAATAGTAAGAGGGAAGTTTTTTCAGCAGCTATTACATTACTAAAGATGTTCTTCCCTTTGCAAAAAGTGTAGCTGCGGTAAGAGACGTTTTGCAAATCTGGGATGATACTGGGAGTCAATCCTGAAAGACCTTGATCAGCCAAAACTCTTCAGGGGACTACAGATGGCCTCAAATGAGACAGAAAAAAATTCCAGCAATAAAATAACAAAGAAAATGAAGAGGTTTGTGATTCTCAGAAGTTTTGCGTCTCAGGGATTCCTGAAAGCTGCTTCAGTTTTAATCTGCAGGAGCTTCTGTCCTCTGAGGTTTTCTTCAAATTTCTAGTTCAAACAGATATCAAATTCAAAGCGAAACTCAGAGCTGCCAAGTTTTTGTTCAAACCGTGTCATAGGCTTTTGATTTAAGGCCATAAAGTTTGCTTCAGCTCTCCTGTGTCTGGGCAAACTATAAGTGTGTATCTAAATCATAAACCAGGTGAGTCTTCTGTGATTTAAAGTCTGCTATGAAAGCAGGACACAGCTCTGAAATAGCCAGGCCCCAGCATCACCAGTTTGGTGATACTGAATTCTTATCGGGCTCTTGCTGTTTGTAGAATCATAGGATCATAGAATGGTTAGAGTTGGAAAGGACCTTAAAGATCATTGAGTTCCAACCCCCCTGCCATGGGCAGGGACACCTCCCACTAGAGCAGGTTGCTCAAAGCCCCATCCAGCCTGGCCTTGAACACTTCCAGGGATGGGGCATCCACAACTTCCCTGGGCAACCTGTTCCAGTGTCTCACCACCCTCACAGTAAAGATTTCTTTCTAGTATCTAATCTAAATCTCCCCTCTTCTAATTTAAAACTGTTGCCCCTTGTCCTGTCACTACATTTCCTGACAAAGAGTCCCTCTCCGGCTCTCCTGTATGTAGGCTCATGCTAAGGGTACACTTCTTCACCCTGTCAGCCGAATTTAGAGATCAGCACAGACGTCTGCAATAGCTTTATTTACTTAATTGCTGCCACAGACGAAATGTGTATAACAACGACAATATTACCTAATAGTCTATGGAATACAGGCAGAAGGACAAGCTGCATGGTAAGGAAGATGCTCTGTCATATAACATCATGATTTCAAATTGTACCTGGGAAAAGCTTGTGTTTGGTCTATGGGTGGCGAATTCTTTCTGACAGATGGGTGGAACCAAAGACACCCAGAAACTTTTATCCTCTGGGTACTTTAGGTGTCTGTGTTCTCATGTCTCCCTTAATAAGCAGAAACTTGTATAATGTCCGATTTTGTGTTCCTAGCTATATAACCTTGCCCCAAACTGCCCCCTGTAACATAAAACATCTATACTTTGAGAACAAATATGACTCTCTAAACATCAGTGTATGCCAATTACCATACACTGCCACTGATGTAGCTATGTCCTCATCAGCAGCAAAACTGAGAAAAAAAAAATTAATGTAATTTTCCTCCCCTGCCTCCTTTTTTGAAACCACTCTCCTTCCTTCATTCTTTCCACTTGTTATTTCAATCTCATTTGCACCAATCTCCCATTTTTTTTCTGCATTGTCCTTGTACTGACATTTGATGATATTGCTTCTGTTTTAACAGCATCACCACCCATTTGGGGGCATCACCTGCTGCCGCTGCAACAAATGTACAGTTTTGGAAGGCAAGCTCTCTCTGAGAAGGAATCCCACGTCTGTAACAAATACTGAGAGAGCACATGAATGGACCAATTTCCAATTTTCAAACCTGAAATTTACACAATAAACACAGTGCTTTGTGGTTGTTCTTCTAGACTAATAAGCTTGTTAAGAAGGTACTGCTTTGCACTGATCCCTCCAGCCTATCTTTCTCAGGTCAGCCCATGCAAGAAACTTCAGGTTTAGATATTCTTCTGAAGGATAAGAATCTTAAATTATTAAAAGCAATATGAGGAACCGAATTAACATATCTTCTGAGACTCTAGCTGGTCTATAAGATTTTCTCTATTTAACTAAAACGGATGCCCAGATTTGAGCATCGTGTTTGGGTAGTCATGAAACAGCATAAGCAATGTGAATTTTAAACTCCTCTAGCAAAAGTGAAGAGGCCTCCCTGTCATTTCCCTTAGTATCTGTACCTCTGGTTACAGATGCAGCCTCTGAAACAGAAGGAATGATCCCTCAGGACTGTGGTCTTTTTTCCATCCAGCTCCTCTTTGGGGTCGGGCCATACGTGATGGCCCAGCTGGTCAGTGGGTCATAACAACAATGGCAGCACTTCCTGAAACCTTCTGATATCACCTTACAATTAACTGAAATAACGTGGATTTACTATTAGACTTTCCACAGGAAAACCCGTACTTTGGGTATAAATAACAGCAATCTCTCGGAATATTTTATTTGGCAAAAATATTATATTTTCACGGTCTAAAATTAAAAAAAAATAAACAACAAACAAAACCAACCAAATAAATCCTCCACTGAAGGAGAGCTCGCATAATCTTTGCTTTCAGTTCTTTATAATACACTGCTCAGTGTTACTACTTAACATTCAGCAATAATTAAGCAGCATCAATTGCACTGTAGGTCCTCTGGTTGCAATGTTAACCTCACAGTAATCTCTATTAACACTACAGCAGTATCTTGTGATAATGAATTAAATAACTGGTGTCAACACTGGAGCTCAGGATTACCATTGGCAGGGGAAAACATCCAAGTTGTTAGGAGTTTGTATAAGCTTCTGCTGACTACAGTAATTTCCAGTTGCTTTGGGGATCAATAACAAGTACTGGCAGAGACTGTCAAGTCAATGTCAGCCCTCTGGATTAATTCTGAGCTCATTATCATGAGTTATAAAGGTCAGGAAGGAGTCAGTGTTAAACCTTTTATAGTCCAAATTTATATTAGGGCAAATAAATAAATGTATCTTAGAGTTTTGGAGACTTTTCCACTTTCTTTGGAAAGCTACTATACTCATGACTTTGCTATGAATGTGGCTACTGTGGTTGCAGTTCTTTATTCCAATATTCAAGACCTATCTCACAGTGACTTCTTTAGCAGTATTCACTTTTTGGTACAACACAAAGTAAAGTTTGGTACTGCCTGGAACTATCTAGTGGCAATATTACTAAATTAACATAAAAAACAAACTGCTCCAATCTTTAGACATGGCTCGTAATGTCCATTGATGTTGTCTGATGGGAATTTTTTCCCCCAACCAGCCAGGGCCTGGGAGGGAATGCTACGTCCCATGAACATCCCATATTTTTCATCAGTGAGAAGAAATGATAAAGAACAGGTATGCACTTCCTTGTACAATGATTGCCTTTGAAGAGCACGCTTGAGTGATGCAAAGGAAACCATGGTTGCAGAGCCAGGCAACCCTTGGAACAGCTTTTAGACTACAAAGTGATGGCCTTCTTGGTCAACTTTTTCTCAATTTACATGTTTTTGCACTTTGTTAATGCTTCTAAGAAAGAGTTACAGCTTCCCTTAAAGGTTAAAGCCCAGTGTTCAGTTTTAACAGACACAATCGACGTTGCTTTTAAACTCTAGAATTGAAACTAGTATTTCTTTTGGGGCTATCTGTTACATTTACGTGATCTGCTACACTTACTCACTGAATACACAAAAACCTGGGAATAAACTCTGCTCTCACTCCAGTCTGTATCGGGATTAACATGGTCAATGGCAATATAATCAGCCTGCTATAAAAGCAGCATTGAAAACACTGACCCTGCTGAGACTATATAAATAGGTATTTTTTTCCTTTCACTACGGAGCAGTTGAAGAATGTCTTAGCAGCTAAGATATTTCTTAATGGTGACACATTTTCCTACAGTCAGCAATTACTACAGACCCACTGAGGTAGGTGCAACAGGCATGAGAAGAGGGATGCTGTCTGCACTAATGCAGCACATTACATGACCACAATGTTAACTGGTTGCTTGCCAGAGAAAATATAGGAAAATAAGCTTAATGGAACAAAACAGTATAGTACTGCACACTAGGGGCAAGCTTTTCTTTATTTTGAAGTTAAAATAATTAATGGCATCTACTCGAAACGTATAGCTTTTTCTGTCTTAATCCATTGGATAAATATCACTGTAGATTAATTAGTTAAAAAAAAATCATGACAAACTTTCTTGGGAGTGGGCTTGGCCAGGATTATTTTATGCAAACAAATTTCTTGTAGGACCTTGGAAAAATCCTAAAAATGATAGCCATAACATACGCTCCTCCTAAGACACAGCATGTAAGAGGTGAAATGAAGAGCCTTACCTGCTTGTGCAGCTGTAATTAGAGCCGTGTTCCCTTCGTTGTCCTGCCAGTTCACATCGAGGTGAGGGCATTGTGCTAAGGCTATTACAACATCCACATAACCTTGGTAACAGGCAACGATAAGACCATTCTGTAAGTAAAATATAAAGAGAGAGTTAGGTTTACCAGACTCAGAAAACTTTGCTGAGGAAGAATACTAGTCTGCTTTTTCATCAATATTTTTTTTCAGACTGAAGAACTGAAAAGGTATCATAACTAGTGATTAGCTCCAGGCATAATGTTCAGATCCAAAGCACTGCCTTTTGTCTCTGCCCTTTGGCGAGTAACATTTGCGATTCCTCAGAAATACCTAAGAGAGTAGGTATTATATTATGCTACTTGGAAAGTAACTGTTTATAAAAGGCTTATGCTTATATGGCTATATACTCTATAGCCAAATGAGAATAAATCAGATTTTATTATATAATAAAATGAACCCAGCAGGTAAGATGAACCGGACCTGCTCTGAATATGAATTCTCTGAAAAACAACTCCTTGGTCTCTGAAGGGGAAGTGGTAGGCAGGAGCTGTATTCATGCTGCCTGTTGCTATCTTTAAATACTTCAGGTTTCCCATTAGAACTAGACCTTTTTTTTATAATCATAAATAAAATAAAATTGCTTTTAGAGTTCCTGTTTAATGTGCTTTGTGACAGATGGAAGCTGTAAAACTTTCAGGAGGTAAACCTTATAACTCAGCTTGGTACCCAGGTAGCGTTTCATTCTCAGCGGCAAACTGACAGCTTCCCTAAAATACAGCAAAATACACTTGTCATTAATTGAATGGAACTGCAGTACTTAATCCTGGCAGCTCACTTGACCACCAGGATTGAAACTGTCATCTCTGGTCTTCAGGGTTACTCCTGCAGCCCAGTGTTCATCTGCAGGGGACTGACGGGGGTAGAGGAGGGCAGGTGCAGATAGACCAGTACTTCTCCCTGCGCTCCCTCTTCACTGCCAACGCACGGCTCCGGTTTCCTGAGCTCAGGACTATTGAAAAGACAAGTGCAGAGACACAAATCTCGACCTCTCCAGTACCCTGCCTGTCTGAAACACACTCATGCACACATGCTGCAAGTTGATAATCACAAAAAACTAGCAAGAAGGAGAACGTGGCTATGGAAACTGAATGGCCCGCCCTGATTCCTTCATCATTTTTCTAAGTGGCTCTTGCCTAAACATTCTCTTTATTTCTTTTCCCCACGGACGCTACTGAGACAGAGACATTTGCCAAATGACAACAACTGCAGCTTCTGATTTATTGTCATTATAACTAGTTAGTTAATATTTCACTGTCCTGTTTCATTTTTATTCTGGATAGTCCATTTGGCTTAGGTAGCAAACAGCTTCATTAGGATACAGAGGCAATGCCAACTCTTTGGGATGCTCACAGGCTACATAGGGTATTTATCACTTACATCTTTTGATAAAATTATTACTCTGATTTCTTTTATTCTCAATTTACTCTTCTCAGTATGAAGCAACACTCACCACTGCTTTATAAAGAGAATCTTAATTTCCTTGTGAAGAAACTGTAATACTTCAAACCATTCTATTGAAATTGAAAGGAGGATTCTAAAGAAAGTCATATAAATATATCTATATATATATCCAGAAATAATATGCACTTAAACATATGTACTGTCCTGGTGGGATTGTTAAGATTAATCCAAGTTTTACTACAGTGTAATCATCCTTAGCTTTAAAAAAAAAACAACAACAAACTATGTCACTGTCCACTTGGTAAGGATTTAAGCATTATTTTAGTTCTTTAATAATTTCATTTTTCACCTGATGTTCAGGATATAGGTCCTTACAACTCCAAAAACTCTGCAGATTTAAAACATCACCTAGTCATTCAGTAAAATGTCAGTTACTAATGATGGCAGAAAAACTAAGTGTACAATAGTTTGGAGACCTAAAAATCTTGACAATAAGATGGGCGATCCTATTGTTCACTGAAAAAAATTTTTCAAGAGAGTGGTATTTTCAAAAAACCATAAGAATAAATTAGTTATCATCTCCAATGGAAAAAACTGTTTCACTCCATATCTGAAGGATACTTTCACAGGACATTTTTGTGTTCTAAAAATATTTACCAGATGCTTAAAAAAAGTTCTTTTTTTTGCTGTCTTTAAAAGAAAAATAAACAGTAAAACAAACAATAACAAAAAGCAAACATTAGCTCTTTTTTTTTCCAAGAGGCTTTTGCATTACAGTGTTTAGGGACTTCTGTCCTACTTTTAGTGGGTACTTCCATCAGACAGGATCTAACACATCTAACACGCGCTGGCATTCTGATTTCAACAGACATGAGACACAAATGATCTCAAAATCAACCAACCTCATTCACCGTTCTGAGTCAACATTTTCTGCAGTTTATTTTCCAAAGATACTATCAAAGACTGCTTGCTTAAGGATACGGAAAAGCAATGGAGAGTAGGAGCTTTCTGAGGGATTATATGATGCAGTAGCACAGAAAATCATTTTTGGAGGATGATTGCACGACTCTGGAGTGCGTCAGATAAGAGTGTGAGAACCTGCTGTTTGACAGAGTGTGCCCAGCACTCCCTGGTTGAAAGGAAAATGAGCAATCAAACGAGGACATTAAACCAAGTCGCTTCACTGCCATATGGTTCCCAGCACCATCCAGAGCTGTAAAGCTGATGGAAGTGATCTCTGGTAACGTTACGTGTTTCATGGGAAGGTGGGTGAGACAGACCGTTTGCTGAGGAACTGCTTTCCTTTGCACACCTCTTCCAAATGTGTCAGATACTGAAATGAGGTGCAGGAGACTACAGCTTTAGAATGAAAATTGCAATGAACCCCTGGATTCAGTAGTTATTTCCCAAATCCTGGTTTAATGATATCATGATAATTTGTGGTTTCAGGTTGGTTTTTTTGTTTAGGTGTTTCGGGGGAGGTGGGGGGTGGGTGTCCCCCTTTTTTTTCCTCTCTGCATCCATTTCTGGACCTCTCTGTATTCTGCTTGCCAAAGGTTAATACAAGCAGAACAGCCAGGACACACAATCAATCAATCACAATGTGAGTTATTAGTCTGGAATCCTTAACTTCATATACCAATAAATATATTATCCACAGCCATAATATATTACAAACTCTTTCAACAATCTCATTTAATAAATATAACTGATACAAAATTGCTTTCAGCAAACTGCCTTTTGAAGCAATAGGTAAAGCAGTAGCCTGTATCGGAGCTGTCTGCAGGAAAATACAGCTGTGCACTTAATTTTTTTTAAAAGATAAAGATAAAAATAAAGCAGTAAAGAAAATTCTGAACCTGAGTAATCTGGTTATCCCCAGAAAAGGGATGACATTTTATTTCATTAGTGTTCCACCAAGACATCAATTATTCTGCTCCTCGTATGAAGGATCACGGTACAATTATGAGGTGGTCAGTGTTATGTGGAAAAAAAAAATTTAAAAAATTGAATCTCACTATTATTTTGTCAGTAAGATCAATTCTCAGACATATTCACTACATGTGAAAGCTTTAGGAGAAGGAAGATTGATAACTCTTAAATGCATGCCCTCTCCCTAAGACTTCAACCTTTCTCCTTCAACAGCATCCTTTTCCTTTTCTTCCCTTTCAAACGCCCTCAACCACCACTTATAAAACCTGAAACTATTCCCATTAATACATGATAATAATAAATTATTGGAAGGAATAATTGTACATCTCATAGCATGCAAGAGCAGTATCCCTGCTTTTCAAGGTCTGTTGTGTTAGCTAAGATTTGCTGTCTTGTAACCACTGGCCAGAGTTATTCTTCCAGACCAATAAAACAGGACAGGAAAAATAAAAGTCTGCTTTCATCATCTGTGCAGAAGAGACCTTAAATATGAAATTACATTCATGCCTTTGGACTATAGGAAAAGGGATTCCTTCATTACAGGGTACCAGGTCTTGCTGGCTTCGCTGAAGCAACAGATCCTATTTCATTTTTCAAATATCGTATACAGACTCTGTGTGACAAACAATAGAGTATGAGTCATCCATCACATCAACTACATTAACATTTACTGTCAATTTTTCCACATACGAGAGGGTTGAAATTCCGCTTAGAAACAGGTTTTTTTCCAAGCAGAAGCCAAAGTACTGCCAGGTGCTGAGTGCTCAGTCTTTCCTCTGTGGAATATTTGGCAATTCACAGAGCTTCCCCACATTTTTTCTATAGTATATGACATATCTTATTTTCATGTAACTACCACAATTTTGAAAGATCCTCCTTTGTTTTGAAGTCACAGAGCAAAACTAACAATACTTTATTTAGGATGCATGGCAAAACAGTCAGTCTGGAATAAATTTCTCATTTTCCGTATTTTCTAAATAAAGTATAGCTAATTTTCTTAATTTCATCCCAGAGTACATACAGGGATATTTCAGGCATGGGACTCCTTGAAGTTAATCAGCCGTTACAACACCTTCCTCGAGTAGCATTTACGAATTGTAAGAATTTTGTAGCATTCTTCTGTAATCAAACTAGAAGTACTGTATTAAAATTTCCTACAGAAGCATAAACTTGAAATTTGCACATTTGAAATAGAATACAATAGTCTTGGGAAACTTTTGATTTCTTTTAAACTGATATTTCTTCATGTGCCTTTGATTTTATGTGAGACTGGAATAGCACTGCCACTATAAAAATAAACTGCTTTGCTCAGCTGTGTTGGCTAATGACATAACAACGCGTCTGATTAAGTGAGGTCACGGATATCGCAGAAGACAATTTTATAAATCAGATGTTATGACAAAATTACACATGTAAGGCTATTTGTACACTAGATCATTACAGATAATAGAGATCACAAGAAATACTAGTAGATCAATAATGAACTCAAGCTGAACAGCAGAGCAAATCACATACAGCATGCGATTATCTTGGCTTTTAAAAAAAAAAATCTCTTCAGGCAACTTATTTTCCACCAAGATGCCGAGAATGAAAACAGCTTATTATAGCTTTTTGCTGATTATCCCAGATGAAAATGGGGCTGGTGAAAGACTAAATTGACGTTACCCTTTGCTTTTCATAAGCATCATGATAAACAACTGTCCAGTTTGCTTTGCATG